CTTTTTTAATATTAGCACCTATTTGTGTAATATATTTACTATAAAAGCTAATTTGATATCTGGAGCCTTTTTTATATCTCTTGTCAAGTTCTATTGGTTGACAAGAACAATATTTTTCATAAACTTTCGCACAAATTAAACACATTAAATATATTGGGCAAATGTTCAAATGAAATTTAATAATGTTGACAAAATTATTTGTACAACAGTATTATATTTATTATAGTAATTTTTGGAATTAGAACAATGATATAATTTAGATGTAGATATTATATCAATATTACAGTTAATAAAAATTGAACAAATTTAAAAATATATTTAATTTAGACATTAATATTACAGTAAAATATATTTAGAATAATGAAAATAGCTCAAGTAGGTTTCGGACTTTCAAACATGTTTGCAAACTTTCGAACCGGGCTCAAACCAGACTCGAATCAAGTCAAAAGTTTGATATTCAAACCTGGACCAAACTGAGTTTTAAAATAGTTTAAATTCGAGTCTGGTTCAAATTTCAAACTAGACTCGAACTTGCCTATAGTCCAGCCTCAGTTTGGGTCCGTCGGAGCTCTAATTGAAAATAACATTTATTTAACAAAACTGCTTATTATATTTTAAAGGTAAAATTATAGTCTTATATGAATATTACCTATTAACTATTATTTTTTACAATTCATTTAATCTAAAAATAGAGAAGTGTTGTTTATTATGCTTAAGAAACATCATTTGTTCAACCATATTTGGGTAAAGTCTGTTATGCAATGCTGTAATATACAATCCAGTATCTGAAAACAACCGTTTAGAAGAGACTGACATAGCTGAAACTAATAAATATTTTCTAGCCAGGTTTGATAGCACAAAAAATTTGGTTGCATTATCTTGCTACCATGTTAATGGATCATATTTTCTATTTTAAATAGGCTTATAAATATAACAATTAACTTCATTCTCTTCAGTTATATTACTTAATTCTTCATTACTATATAAATCTAATATTAAATTATTAGAAGATCCAGCAAATTCATTATTTCTTGGAATTTCTTCAATCAAAGATTGGTTATATTCTTTTTCCAAACAGAGTCTTTGCACTATATTAATTGTGGCTATCTTTATATTCTTATTATTAATAAAATTCAAATTCTTTATTTGAGAGTCCAAAAACAATATAATAAGTTCAACTTTATCGGGAACTTCTTAGTACTCTTTAAGAGAAAGATAACTTAAGCCTTAACCTAATCATATAGCTCTATGGTAGTAATAGGTGGTTTTATTAAATAGCAATTTTTAAATTATGGATCGCTATATTGCTTAGATTTATTTTTGAGAGTTTTTTTATGATTTTTTTTTTTGTTTTTGAAATACATATAATGGTTGCTGAAGTTGCTCTAAAATAATTAGTGCCTCAAGTTCATATTCTAAATCTGATTTATCTAAATTTTTAGCATCAGTAACTAATTGATTTTAATTACTTATATGTTCTCTAGATTTAAATAACAAATTTGTATAATCATTTTCAGTTTGCTTATCAGAAGGCTTAAACTTTTTAATTAGCAGCTTCATTGTTGGATAAATGAGGTTAAACATGGGTAATTGGAATCAGAAAATATGATAGTAGCATAGTAAAATAGCTTTATTGATATAATAAAATTATCTAATAATTGCTACTCATCTTTAGTTAGATTTATTAGTTTCAAATATTTACTATCAAGTTGGTCACACCACTCTGCTTCAGATAGTAGCATAATAACAAAATAATTGATTGTCTTTTTTAATTTCTTAAGCCGAACCCAGACCAAGTATGAAGAATTCTATCTCATTGATATATCATCAATTACTTGATAAATTGTTGTATATCAACACTTTTCTTGTATATCATTAAATTGTTCAGTTTGTTTAGGGCTTTGGAAAAAAAAAATCAGGTTTTTTGCACACTTAATTAATTGTACTACAGGTTTAAGACCTTTTAATACACTTAACTGAAGCATATTGGCAGAACAAGCTAAATGTGTAATATTATTTGTTAAATTAATTGTCTTTTTAATATTGCGACTATTGTCAGTCATAATACAAAAAATTCTTCTAGCTAATCCCATTCGAGGCATATCAGCTGATTTGTTTTGACCCCAAAATCAACTAATCATAATTAAGAATTATCAAAAAATTTTGTGCTTAAAATTAATTCAAAGCGAATTTACATAAAAATATACTTTTTAACTAACTTTGTACTTCTAATTAAATATATAGAAAATTATGAGATTTACATATTTTATTATAAGTTAAAAGTATGTTAAAAAGGCCATTTTTAAAAAAATTTGCTTCCAAATTTACTCTTGATAGTTACCAACTAATCAAACAATGGCAAACCAATTTTAAAATACTCAAATATATTAACAAACAGTAAAAGTAATTCTTTTTACAAGTTAGTATAGCTGTTTTATTCAATTTTTTTTGTTTTTTATTTTGTCTAAAACCAAAAAGCTTTTTTAGTTATATACAAGTACTTTGTTTGTTACTTTTTCAATATTACTTAGGAGCAAAAAATTTATATAACTTTTGGTTCAAAAAAGGCCCAAAAATCAAAACCAGCTAATATGGGTAACTTTATTAAATAAACTTTTGATATTTTCAGCTATATGAGGTAACAAAATTGGTTAGATCATTAATAAAGCCTTCTTTTAATATAAAATTTGAATCTATCCAAGTTGCCATCACTCCAATATACTTTTTATTCGTTCTTGAACTCCACAAATCTGTAGTCAAATTAATAATCCTAAATCTACATTCATTATGTCAAATAATTGATCACGACTCTAATTATAAGCTTGATGAATCATTTTTTTTGTAGTCATTTCGCAAGGAATCTGAAATCCAGGTTCCAGATTGTTTAGAAGTTGACGAAAAGCTTGACAATGCAGAATATTTAATGGTTGGCAATTTTCAATAATAAATTCTACCAAACCTTGTACTAATTTTTTTTGTTGATATTTAGTAATAATATGCAAGGCTTTGACAATTGAATTATCCATATTTTTTCCATTATAATGATTTTTATCAATTCAATGCATTGATCAGAGATAGAAAAGCATATTTCCAGTTGAAGAGTTATATATATACTTTACTGTAATGTTTTTTCCTTGCAAAGTTGACAAATATTAAAAACTCCATTTTTTATTTCTCATGTAGGTAGATTTAAGTAATTTATAAGTAGAGTTTATTTTTTTTAAAACTTTAAAGCTAAATAGCATTTGTTCTACTGGTTTATTTTGAATAATTTTACTACCAAAATGTTTGTCTTTTTGAGACAATTTCAACAAGCCCAAAATTATTAAAATCTAATTACAGGATTATAAGATAATGTACTGTCAAATAGTGATGCATTTAGGAGGCAAGAAAGATTGGTTAGACTAGGTTTAACCAATCTTTCTTCTTCTATCCTAGGTGTATCACTATTTGACAGCACATTATCTCACAATCTTGTAATTAGATTTTAATGATTTTGGGCTTATTGGAATCGTCTCAAAGAGACAAACATTTTGGTAGTAAAATTATTCAAAACGGACTAGTAGAACAAACGCTATTTAGCTTTAAAGTTTTTTAAAAAATAAACTCTATTTATAAATTATTTAAATTCGCCTATATTGTATATAGTAATCTGAGTCATATTTTACTATGATCATTTTTCAGATGACTGGTGGATCATCAATTAAGTTAGGATTTAAGGTTTGAATTATTATTAATAAAAGAGTACAGATGAATTTTAGTAGGGCTTATATTTTCAAATCAAGACCCCAAATTTCACGATAATTCATAACAATAAATATTCGTAAACATGAGCTTATTCTAAAAAGTTTTTTTATACTTATCTAAATCAATGATCACAATGAGTTAAATAGTAAATAGTCATGAGCCTGAATAAAATATTATTAAACTTGAATAGCTTTATAGCTATATACTAAAGTAGAGCAATTAAATAAAATTAAGAATTTTTATTATCTAAAATAACGTGAATATAATAAAGATTATCTTAAATATAGCTACATATTAAATTTAAAAAAAATAGTTACGAAAGTGAAATAAATAAGGATAAACGCACCTGCCCATCTAGTTGTTATCTAAAAGATATAGTTATACAATTTATTCCATAATTTATTTATATAGATAATCTAAATATTATCATTATACACAAATTTTTTAGTATATAGTTATAGATATATAATAATATAATATAAGCAAAAAACTTTTAATATGCAATACTAAAAGCACCACAGAATATAGAATAAAGCTCAATTGACTGAAAAAGTTTTGATAAAATTAATGCATCTAATTCAGGACCAAAATACTTAGCATTTATATTAGTTTCGAAATAGGCAGTAAGTTGTTCAAGTTAATTTTTAACCAGAGAAAAAACAGGTTTTTCTTGCTAAAAAAAGTTTAATGTTTGTATAAACTTTTGTAAAAAAATACTAATAAAATTTATATAAATTGTAATAAGTCCAAGATCTTTAGAATTTGATAATAATGATATAATAACTTCTAATGTATTAGTTTTATTAGTTTTATATTTATTTTGAAAAAATCTATTTGTCACTCGACTCTATATGTATTCTAACATAATTACGAAATATATAATCCGGAATATTGCTCTAGCTGCTCATGTGGTCTACAGTCATTTTTAGCATCTTGCTTCTTAAAAATTTTTCTTCTTCTAATCATTGAGTTGCTTAATAAAATAACAATAACAATACTAACATTTGAGTTATACCCCAACACCTACAATTTCATTCTCTTACAAAACTCTTCTGAGTGGCAGGTGGGTAGGTATAATCAACAAAGCTGAACTTTCATTAAGCTAGCAGCAAAAACAAAAGATGGAGAACAAATTCTATCTCTCTTCCTTTAAAAAAGGCCAGCTACTATGACTTCATACTTACTTATATCACTTAAACATACTTACACAATATATCATTTCTACAAATCGATTATACTAATATATTACCCAAATATTTAGATCAAGTTCATTATTAATACATCACACTTATCAAACATCAGTTTCAGGATATGGAACCAAGGCACAGTCTTGTAACAAATAGATACTATATAAGGAAGCTTCCAGAAATCAGCTGATTTATCTTTACTAATAGGCTACCCCCACCCACCCACACCTGACACCCCTATTAGCCAATCAAA